TGATGAGTCTTATCAGTTCCATGTCCAAGTTTATATCTAATTAATCAGTTAATGCTGTTTTTGAACTTCTAGTTGCTTCTTCACAGGCTGCTTTTGCTAAAGTCTCACAGCAATTTCAATTTCCCTTCATTGCTGCAAGGACTACAGTTTTAGAAGTAAACCTGATCAAGAAAAAAAAAAAGATTTCATTTCTGAGCCAAAATTAATGTGTTATACTTGTTGTGTAGTTTATTTAAAAAACTATTGTCTAGACTCCAAATACTACCAAGTTCTGCTTCTAGAATATTAAGCTTTGTATGACGCTTACTCAGCATGTCATTCCAACTTTTTGGTGTTATGCTGCCTCCTTGTCAAATATCCGTTTGCCTTAAAAGCACTTTAATGCCTTGAAGATAATGAACAATTTGGCAGCAAAAATATTTTCTGACTGATTTGGAGCCCCTGCATAAACTACTTGGCATCATTATACTGGCTATTTTAAAATTAGGATTTATTTCTGTTTGAATTTTGAAATCTCTCCTTGGGAGAGTCATTTAAATGTAAACGCATATTTTCCTCTTTAACAGTAGCTTATGGGATGTAATGGTAGAACATTTTTGCATTTTTATGTTTAGTTTTATTGTAAAGAGCCTTGGGATGCATTTGCATGAAAGGCACTATATAAGCTCATTTTGTATTGCATTGTATTGTATTGTGACAAGTGCAATAATCTCCAGGTTTCCTATCCATTAAAGAACTAATTTCACAGCTCACTAATTATGTGAATGAGAAGGGGAAATAGGTCCTTTTTCTCTAAGGTATGCTGAGCAGATGGCATAGCATTCATTTCCACCAGCTGAATCTAAGGTCCTCTCTTGCTCTTGGTTCCAAGTCTTGCCTCTGTTTAACAACTAGAACAGGAGAGAGATGTCAGTTTCTTGTACAGCACGACAGTATGCACTGAAAGGCTGTCTCTGTCCTTTACTAATACAACATTAGTTAGCACATACAAGGTATAAACAGCCTGTTTATTTAGGATGGGACATGAAAACCATTGAAATGAATGTGCATTATAATGCAATTCTAATTTGCCTCTGATTTATAGAAGATACTGGTTAGATCTGTCCTAGGGATTTAAACTGATACTCATAAAAAAGTTATTAATTAATCAATTGAGTACCTTTGGGACTGTATCTAGTCTGTAATTTCCAAACAGAAAAATATTTGCTTAGCCTGTGCACTTTCCTTCATAGCTAAGGTCTTGCTACCTTGCTAATGTTTTGGTTTTTTCCTTTTGCCTTGCTCCTGGAAATAACTGACTTGAATCAAACATGCATACAGTGATTTATATAGCCCCCTAATTCATGGCTTTTTTTAAAAAATCTGAGTCGTCAGGGAGACCAGTGCTCTCCTGTGATCCTGAAAAGTCAGTGTTTGGGCCCTTCTTTCAGCATTAAAAAGAGAAAAGATGAGACTGAAGGTCCTGACACATCTTGTGTAGAACTTGACAGTAAGGCTGCATTTTACAGTGCTACACAAGCAATCAGATCATTTTCTCCTTTTGACACAATGAGCAGTTCATTATATTTTTTTCCCTTTTCTTACTGCTGGGTTGTCACATGGTTTTGTTTTGTGTTCATGGTTCTGATTTCATTCTAATTTCAGACGGATGCAGCACTAATGTATGATGCAGTTCATGTGGTGTCAGTGGCTGTCCAACAGTTCCCACAGATGACTGTCAGTTCACTACAGTGTAATCGCCACAAACCGTGGCGATTTGGGACCCGCTTTATGAGTCTCATTAAGGAGGTAAGTCACTAATATTGTGTCCTGCTTCACAGATTTCCTTTTTCCCGACTCTCATTTTCTTTTGTTTCCACTTTACTTGAATTCTGCCTTTTTTTTTTTTTTTCAGTAGATGGGAGTCTCTCAGCTTGTTATATATAAAGAGTTTAACAGGCAAGGCAGCATTTTTATTTGAAAGCAGGTTTTTCTGAGGTTGGAGAAAAGAAAGATAAAAGGATGAAATAACTGCATTCTAAATAAAATTTTTATTTGTAGATATTTGGAGGGGTGGTGGGTGGTTGTGGTTGGAATATTTATGGCATAAAACCCCAAACTCCTGGAACCCCAAACCATATACTCACTATGAAAAATTCAGCAACTAAATACTGGCATAAGTTCAAAGTGGCCAAGAACGAAGTTTACTCTCTGATATAAATTTTTTTTTTTTTTTTTTCTATGGCAAATTAATATATGTGGCCCTGGTCTCCTAGTATGCTGTTTCGATACTGATAGATAGTGATTTAAAGTAAAGCTAGGTGAATACTGTAGAATATTCAGGTCTCTTGTACTGTAACTAACTCCTATTAACATATTTCTCAGTCTAGATATGCAAAATACTATGATAAAGAGAAATATTTTCAATGGAATTTAATCCTATTTTTAATATTGGTTCCTTTTGGGATGATAATTTTTTTTTACGCATTCTCTCCTCTACTTTAGTATAGTTTTAGAACTAGGTAGACTTTAATTTATAAAACAATGAGGATATCACACTTTATTAAAAGCAAGGTGTCAGCTCTGGAAGACTGGCTCAGTGACCTCAATTTTTGCTGTCTCAGGGTTGTTTCAGGGGACTCAGCATCTTGCAAAAGTAAGCCTTTATTTAAATGAAATTTCCTGACAGAATAATGAAATCTAGCACTAATGAAAGAGATTGAGGCTTGGGGGGAAGGGGAGCATGTAGGGAAGCAGAAAGGGAAATGCATGCATGAATGATGGAGGAATGAAAACAAAAGAGCCTTTTATCCCATTTAGTAAGATGAGTCTGCTGGCTAACATGGAAAGTTGTTTAAAAACATGGTTTGTGAAGACTGGAGAAAGGTTGATTTAATTAGCAAAAATTGAATATGAAATCTTTTTTAAAAAATCAGTCACAAGGTAAATTACTTAGATAAAATGAGTAATTAATATTCCCATTTTGGCAGAAGTAAAATTTGTTCCTTTTTGGGCAAAAAAAGGGAAAAGCTATTTATTTATAGAAATTGTTTTTTCTTTCTCCATAGGCCCACTGGGAAGGCCTCACAGGCAGGATAACTTTCAACAAAACCAATGGCTTAAGGACAGATTTTGATTTAGATGTTATCAGCCTCAAGGAAGAAGGTCTTGAAAAGGTGTGTAAGACATTTACCTCCAAAGTGATGAGAAACAAAACAAATACCCACCCCCTAAAAACAGTAGCATTTTCAATAACTTTTCATGTGTTACATAAAACAATATAACTGTTCTTAACTTGATACCTGGTTTCAAAGTCTTTTAGTAAAAGCTGTTATCTTGACCTCTGTCAGTGGCCTCTTAACTGTGTGCTTCTAGCCATGTTCTTAGGTTCAAGAGGACTGGGGAAGAGTGAGTAGCTGGACCTGGAGTCATGCATTAATATACTTTGTCTTCACTCTATATTGAGTTTAGTTTTAATTGTGGTTCCAATCCCATTGCCTATCCTCATGTGTGAACCTGTGGGTATGTGTATTTGTATTTTCTTTATATTTTACTAATTCGGGAGAGTTACCTCAAACAGAATGAAATAAGATAGTTTCATTTTGGTAATTTTATGTGTTTAAGAGGGAACTTTGATTCCTTTCTTGGAATACAAAGATTCTATCTGTATGGGGTACTAAAAATTAAGAACAGGTAGCTTGATGGGTTTGTCTGTCTTCTGACATGAATTTTTCTTGTTCAGAGATGGAGTGAAAGATGAAAGGGTTAAGAAACACCCTTTCTGCATAGCCTAATATTGTCTGTATTTGAACTAAAGGCCATGGGAAGCGTGTACAGATATTTGGTCTGCCTACATGTCATCAGGGTGATCTAAAATGAGATCACCTTCTCTCTCTTCTCCAGCCACCCTGCCATGGAGAGGCAATGCAGGAAACTGCAGTGTCTCACATTGTTATCAGCAGACAAAGGTTTTGCAATCTGTATCTGCCTTATAATTTGTATTTAGCTGTGGTGTTCAGTGTTCAGTAAGCACTATGTTCCCGTTCATCTTCAGGTAAAGTTTTATCAGCTATTGTCCCAAGGTGAATTGTGGCCACAAATAAAAAGAGAAAATAAGGAAAGCACTATGCTGCAGAGTTGCATTTCCTTTCTTCTATAAATCATTGAATGGAGAAGCTAGCATAAACAACATATTTCTGCAAAACTTTTTCCCCCGGTACTAGTTTTGGAATATTAATGTTCTTTTAGTAGGAAGATTTTAAAAAAAGCCATGAGCTTGATTTGAAATGCTTACATAGGTAATAGCATTTTTTAAAATATCCAACAACAAACCTGTGATTAAAGGACTAATCTTTATTTTAAAACATTCAGCAATGCACTGATAATAAAGAGTCTTCCTATAAAGTATTCCATGAAGGGAGCTCTAGAAAATTAAGGGGGGTGTGTGGTGAAGATATATATAATGATAAGATTTGAAAAGCAAGTGAACTTTGTGTATGAGTAGAATAGGTGCAATGCAACCTGTATTCCTTACTGGAAACAGAAATGGAAGAATTGATGGCATGGGAATAGTTAAATAGTCAGCGGCTGAAAAGTCTGCATGTAGGTGGTAACTGTTGAAAATAAGGAAAGGAAGTCTCTGTAATCTAGGATGGCTTTAAGAACATTGGTGGCATTTGAGAAGCACCAGGCAACATGGGTTTTCTGGAAAATAAAATCTCAGTTGACAATATATTAGGAGATATGTGCCCTGCTGAAAATATAGAAATAAACCAAAAAGGTCTGCAGAGTTTAGAAATATGGGAAGAAAATAAAATTCATCAGGAAATACACTACTCTAAAACACATAATAGAAAAAAGAAACTTGGGAAACAGTAATAATGACCGATACATAATAAGCAGTGACAGAAATAGTTGTAAATGGTACGGATATTTAAAAATAACCAATGCATGCTTGAGCTGTATATACAGAAGTTCACAGAAAAGGAAGATACTTTTATTGCCTTCATGGCTCATTTTGGCCATGTGATATAGGGATGTGGTAATATCAGTTTTTCACCAAAATGTGCTGACAATCTTTGGAAACAGCAGTAATAATTGGTTACCATGTATTAGAAAAGTTTAGAAGTTAGGAAAGTGTTAGCAAAGAATCGTGAGGAATGCTACACAGATTCAAAGATACATATGAGCAAAAGCCAAGCAGTTTCTGTAGTGTGTAGTGATTTGAGATTAGGAAAAGGAAAATTAAGGTGTATGCACATTAGATTGAATTGCTTAGTAAATATTTGGAATGAATAGGGTATTTTACTGAGAAAGAGAAACCAATGTTGACAAATAAATGTTTTTCTTTAAAGAAAACTTGATTGTTCTGAAAGGATACAAACCCTATTCTTCTTGAGTCCAAGGTAAGTCATTAAACTCTAGAGCAGGACACTTCCTAGTAGAGATGGTGTTTCAGCAAGGCCTTTTATTTAAAAAAAACTGGCTCAAAGTTGTTTTTTTTCCCCACGAGATTGTCTTCTCTTAAGGCTATAATGAATCCCGCTCCCTTCTCTTAGACCTCTGCCTCCCTCCCTTCACATGTGCACTCCATCTCTATACATCACACTGTTTCCCTTCTGCTTTATGCTACTCTCTCCTTCTCTCCCTTCCCTCTTCCCCCCTCTCCCTTTCTTCCCTCTCTCCCTTCCCTCCTCCCTGTCTGTTTCCCTTTCCATCTAATCCCTGTCCCTCTTCATCTCTTTGCTCTTCTATCCTCTTTATTTTCTTTGTTAAGGAGCCTTTCCTTGTCTTTGTCCTTGTCTTGTATATTCCAAATGTTCTTCCCAACCACCGTCTTGTCAAGCCTTTCTGGCTATGTAGATAGAGTTCCTAAACAGTTTTTATTTATTTATTTATTCATTAATTCATTTTGTGGGATGAGAGAAGATGGGGAGATGGGAATTATATGTGCCATATTATATGTGTTGTCTTTCCATACTGTAAATAGCCATTATTTCATCTAACCTCTTTCCAAATATGGGGGAACAATTCCTTATGCGAACAACAGTTCAACCCAACAATTTCAGTTGTAATCTGTAATGCTTTTGTGACAGAATGAGAGAAGATGTGACAGAATGGGGAGAAAAATATTCATGGAGGGAAGAGAAAAGAGTTATTCTGAAACATTTCTAGAAGACCTATTTCTTTTTGAGATTTTAATAAAAAAAGTCCTAGATAGATTGCCTGGTTAGTATAATGGGAAATGATCTAAGTCATGTCTTTTAAGTGCAATCACTGCTGAAGTCAGTGCCAACAAAAAAATTGCTCATTGGTTTAAGAAAGATGTCATGTGTGATCTCAGATTTTACACAAGATACCTGTTCCTGAAACACTTGAATGAGAGGTGATAATCAAGCATCAATCAATAAGAAGTATGTGTTTCCAAATCAAATTCATGTCTGACAAAAATGATAGCTTCTTTTAAGATGAAAATGACAAAATTAATAGATGATTGGAGTGCTGCTAATGTAATGTACAACAAAATTTGCTGACTGTCACTCTGGACACACTGAACCTATTTATGGTTAAGCACAGTGAAAATCGCTAACTGTGGCAATCCAGTACAACAAGCAAATTATCATTTAGTTTACAATCAATCAGTATGTCATTGAAGCTGCCATCATGAGGAAAATTATTTTATACTTCAGGGAGATAACAAATACCTGAATTTAATACCACTTTTGATATAAAAAAAATGTCACTGAAGAAGAATCGCCTTTCTTGAATAGAGATGCTAACAACTGACTTGAAATCTTGCTCGAGAACCTACACACAGGATGAGTATAAATGACACAAAATGAGTTATAATTCATTGCCCATCATATCAATGTAAGATCTTGTTCTAGTTAGTGTCTTTATTGATGATCTGGGAAAAAACCAGTAAGTGGCATAAACAGAGGGTTTTGTAAAAGTTAAAGAAAAAAAGAAAGTGAAATAACAGATCTATGGAAGCTGGAACTATTGCTGTTAATATGATATTTGGCAAAGAAAGCAAGCATATTAATTTTTCTAAAGAAAGAAAAATAAATGAAGCAATTCACATCCAGGAAATACATGTTTAGGAAGAAATAACATTACTCACACTGAGGTGTAAATCACTACTATTAATAAATATCCTACAAAATATAATAAAGAAAAGATAGTAAACTGTAGACACATTTGTCAATTCTTTGGGGGTTGAATATGGCTCTGATTTTGTCTGCATAGTTAGGCAGTTGGTACCACTGCAGAAGGGTAATGATCCTTCCTAATACAATGCTTGTGGCACTTGACTGTGAGTAGTATGCACGGCTTTGATTGACTCAGAGACAAAAAGAATGTTAGTTTTCTTAGGAGAGTTTTGAAGGAGGTTCAAAAAGGAGAATACTTGAAAGGATACTTGCTTATTCATAAAGATAAATTTCTGTTTCTCAAACATGTTGAAGTAAGGAAGCTACTTAAATCTATTGAAGTTTTGTGAATAACATCTCATGAGACTGATGCTCCATAAACTAGAGTATGTGTAAACTCAGCAAATTTTAAGTTTCGGGAGGGTACAATGTTTCTTTTTTGGGAGGTGGGGAATTATTGTACTGGCTTCAGCTGGAATAGAGTTAAATTTCTTCATAGCATCTTCTATGGGGCTGCATTTTGAATTTGTACTGGAAATAGTTTGATAACACACTGATATTTTAGTTATTACTGAGTAGTGCATACACAGCATCGAGGCCTTTTTTTGCTCTTCACACTGCCCTGCCAGTGAGTTGGCTGGGGGTGCACAAGAGGTTGGGAGAGGAGACTGCTGGGACAGTTGATGCCAACTGACCAAAGGGATAATCCAGGCCATATGATGCTGTGCTCAGCAACAAAACTGTGGGGTGGAAGTTGGTGGGGGCTGCGTTTCTTGGGGAATGGCTGAGCATTGATCGGGTGGTGGGTCAGCGATTTTTTTCTCTTGCATCACTTGTTTTTCTTGGGTTTTATTTGCCTATCTCTTTTTTTTTTTTTTTTCCTCCTTACAATGTGAGGGTTTTTTGTTTTGTTTTGTTTTGTTTTTAAATTATTAAACTGTCTTTATCTCAGCCCATGAGTTTTCTGACTTTTACCCTTTCAATTGTCCCTGCCATCCATCTAGGACTGACTGAATGGTTGTGGG